AGATTATTAATTTATTATTATTAATTTATAGTACTTGATCCACGATTAAAATTATCATATTATATTGATAATCATTGAGAAGTAAATTTTATTGAGAAATTACGTGAAATTTTTACTTCTTATTTCAATATGCATTATGCACCATTGATGATAGATTTAGAAAATCCAAATAAAAGTTCTGAAGATGATGATGATTTATTAAATCATATATATAAAAGACAACTGTAGAAAATATTAATGAAATAGAGCATTATCTTAATGATTCACTTGCATCTTCAAAGACTAATTTATTACAATGGTAGAAAGTAAGTAATATATTTTATTAATAATTTCATATTATTTTTAAGCTTATTAATTTTAGTTAAATGAATCACAATATCCTTATTTAGCAAAAATGGCAAGAGATTTTTTAGCTATTCTAGATAAATAAATTTAAAATTTTATGAAACTTTTATAATTTTAATTTTTAATTAATCTAATTTATATTATTTTTAAGCTACTAGTATAGATGCCTGTCAAAACCTTCTCAAAATAATTTCGTCATACCCTTTTCTATGTTTTTAATATAGTTTCGATAGTTTCAGCTTTTATTGTATCAAAAGGGTTTCGTTGTATCCCTTATTATGATTTTAATATAGTTTTATCTAAGTTTCGACTGTTATTAAGGAGTTTCGTCCCTTATCATTAGCTACTAGTGTTTTGATAGAAAAAGCATTTTCTAAAGAAACTGATCTAATTACACAAAAAAGATATAATTTATCAGCAGAAACAATTAGAGCGTATATGTGTCTTAAATCTTGGTAGCAAACTATTTTAAAGAAAAAATAAAATTTTTTTATTTGGTATTTTTTTATTTTTTTTATGATTTTGATTTAAATAAAATAATATATGAGACATACTATAACAAAATCAAACAAAATGAATATTTTATTATGTGATATAAATAAAAGGTTAATTGTAATGTGACTGTAAAATTGACTAGTGTAACTGATGACATTTTGAAAAGTAATAATAGTGCTTATTTATAACTTATGAACTTGTTAATTTTAATGCTTGCTTTATCATACCAGAATGTAATGAATATAAACTATAACATGATTAATATAGGATTACCTTTATATATAAAAATATTTATGAAACTCATTTACATCAGATTTACTATGAAATCAAAGAATTACAGCACTATTAGAAGTATTCTAAAAAAAACTCAAGGTGAAAAATCACACCTTATATCTTCAAAATTAATTAATTCCTTAATTTTTTTTCTTTTTTTCTAACAGATAGGCAAAAACTCCTATCATCAAAACTATTATTGTTCCTCTCAAAATGTAAGGTAAGTAATTGGTTAGGTTGGTTGATGGTAATTGTTCTTGCTTTTTCTCAGCAATTATTCGTTTAAGTTCAGAATGGGATAAAGAAATTTTATTATTACTTTTTAAATAATTAAATACTTATTATAATTCAGCTTTATTATTATTATTATTATTATTATTATATTCAACTACTAATTTATTATTACTATCAAGAGTAATATTTTTTATATCATGTTGAATAAAAAAACTGTTCTAGTTATTCTAAATCAGAAAGAGAAAAAACCTTTTGCTTTTTTTCATTAAACTTATAAATATTTTTATCTTGAGAAGTAGGAAAAGGTGTTTCTTCTTCACTTAAAGAATCACTATCTTTTATTAAGGAAGAAACTTCTTCTTTCTCTTTTTTTTTGGTTAGATTTTCCTTTCTCATCTATATTAAACTTCTTTTTTATTTCATCTATAAACTCCTTTTCTTTTTGTTTTCTTATTTTTTCAATTTTTTGTTGTGCTAGTTCAAATAATTTTTCTTTTAACTCTTTAAATACTCCTTTTAACTCTTTTTTACTTAATTTAAGAATATCTTTAAAAGAGTAATCATTAGGATTAGCAAGTATTTTATCATTTAGCTAGTATTCTGCTATGCAAAGATATCAATTTCTTCCATAAAAAAAACTTTTTCATTATTACTATCTTTATCTTTAACAACTTTTCTTTCTTCAATAAATACTTTTTCTATTTTTGGCATAGTTTTTCAATCAGGTACATTTTTAGTATTCTTATAGTTAAAGATAGTTACCACAATTAAAAAAAAATGACACAATTGAGTTGCAACTTGTAACGTAATTAAATTTTCTTATGGTGCAATTAAGTTGCAACTCAATTGAAATTTGAAAATAATTATGGAGACCATCTTTACTTATGGTAGATAAGATTTCTAAGACTTTTTATGCTATCAATATCAAACAGAGTAAGTAATAAAGATATTTTTTTTTTGTTGTCATATATTACAAATTACCTACTAAAATCCAAAAACTCTAAACTAGAACAATTTTTGCTTTCAAGTTGATTAAGACCATATTATTTAGTAGAAACAAAACTGAGTTTAAGTAAATTAATAAGATTTAATTCATTCAGACCATTATTTTCTGCACAATTCAAATTTTTAGTGCTTCACAACTATCAACATTCAATATTTTTAGTAAATTGTCAAAATCAATAGAAGTATTAGTACAATATAAATTTTTTAAGTTTTTTAGTTCACTGCAATCCAATTTTCTCAAATTGTTATGATAACAAAATAAGTTTTCTAATTCTGTTAAATGCTTTACTCTAGTTCTTTAATTTGATTTTCATAGCAGTAAATATGCTTTAATTTTTTATTATTAGTCAAATTTAAACTACCTAAAATATTTAAACCAACATTTAAATACTCTAAATTAATAAGATTAGTTAAATCAAATCTAAGGCTGCTTAGATTATTAGAAGCCAAATTTAAAGTATGTATTTGCTCTGCCAATTCTAAAAATCCTAAGCCACAATGATTAGCATGTAATTCTTTTAATTTCTTATATGCACTAATATCTAAAAAATCAATTCCCTCTTCATTTTAATAATTATTCAAATAATTCAAATATTCTAATTTCTTACACTTATGTAAATCCAAATCAGTTAGTTCATTATCACTACAATCTAAAGTTTTTAAATTAGTAAATCCTTCTAGTGATAAATTCCCTTGTAAATCTAAAGAACTAAGATCTAGTTTCTCTACTACATTTCTTTTATTAAGAGAATACTTAACATCTAGTCAAGTTTGAGTATCACCATTTATTCTACTTCTTTTTATGATATCTTCTAATTTCAAAGTGTCTAACTTATCTTTTTTCTCTACATTTAAAGGATTATCGCTATAAGAAATAGTTTTTAGATTCTTTATTTTTAATTCTTCTATGAAAAAGTCTCACTTAGTTAATTGATTATTATGGATATAGATTTCTTGAACAGAAGGACAATTCTCTATCTTTAACTTAGTAAGTTTGTTGTGTGCTACTTGAATTAATTTTAAGTCAAGGCAATTATGAATAATAATCTCTTCTAATTCATTATTACCTAAAGTTAACTAAGTTAAATCAGAAAAGTTCTTTATTACTACTTTACCAGTATAGTCTTGTTGAATAAAACAAAGTGTTCTAATTTTTTCTTTAACACTGGTTAAATTGTTAAAATCCTTTTCTTCTTATTTTGCTTTTAATCTTAATCAATTTGTTAATCAGACTTAATTTTCATATTCATTGTTTGTCATGAAAAATAGTTAATAGTTACATATTTATTATAATTAATTACATATATAAATATATTTTAATGTATTCATCCTAGTCTTGGACAAGTAATATTTTTGAATTTATCTCTAACAAATAGATAAATATTCTGATAAAGATATTCTTATCTTTTATAATTCAAAGAAGGTGGTGTTAACACTAAAATAGATAAAGTTTTAATTTTTTCAAAAATATCTACTTTCTTGATTTTCAATAAACTGAATTCAGCAAAAGGTTCATTAGCAACTTCTTGAACTTCACTGTACCAAGATTAGTTGCTTCAAAAAGAAAATGTTGATATTTCTGAATGCTTGGTAATTTCTTAAAATAAATTCCTAAAATATATTTGATATCTAAGTATTGAAAACCTTTTTTATCTTCATAACATTGAGTTTTATTCAATCCTGTTAGACTTGATCTTTTCACAACTTCTACAACATGGTCTACACAATCTACACTTATTTTTCTATAAAGATTTTTAATCAATCCAAAAGTACCATTACGTTTAAATTTGGTATGCCTAGCAATTATAAAATTTAATTTAATACTTTCATAATATTCATAAATTATTAAATATAAATAAAACCAAGTAGCTGGCAACTTAGATTAGGTTATAAATGTAACTTCATAGTCTACTGGTATCTTCATAATATAATAGTAATTTCATAGTCTACTGGTATCTTTATAATATAATGGTAACTTCATAGTCTACCGGTATCTTCATAATATAATGGTAACTTCATAGTCTGCT